CTTTGGCAAGGAGTGCAAGTAAAGATAGAAAACAATGATCTAATGACATTCCGTGCTGCATTGTTGTTTGTAGGATGTGATGTTCCTGCAGCGAGAAAGGTTTGTGGGTTTACAGGGCATGGATCTTGCCATGGTTGCTCAAAGTGTAAAAAGGTTTTTAGTGGCAATGTGTCAGAAAGAATGGATTTTTCAGGTTTTGAACCCTGTCCATCCAGAACCAATGAGGAACATCGCCAACAGGCCGAAGATATTCTCAGGCAGACATCACAAACAGATAAAAACATTAAGGAACAACAATATGGAACTCGATTTACAGAACTCATGATGCTGCCATATTTTGATTGTGTAAGGTTTCATATTATTGATCCCATGCACAATCTTTTTACAGGTAGTGCAAAGCACATAATGAGAAATATTTGGCTAGAAAGCTCTTCACCTTTAATAGAGAAAAAAAATCTTGAACAAATCCAAAAAAGAATTGAYAGTATTGAAGTGCCTTCAACTGTTGGTAGACTTYCCAAAAAAATTATAAACTCATATGGAGGTTTCACTGCTGATCAGTGGAAAGCTTGGACCATCATCTATTCAATCTTTGCACTATGGGACATCCTTCCAGAGAAAGACTTAGAAGTATGGCGCTATTTTGTCTTGGCTTGCAGCTTTCTATGCACTCCAATCATCACTGAAACTAAAGCTAGATTAGGACACTTACATCTAATGAACTTTTGCAAAGGTTTTGAAAAGCTTTATGGGACAGATAAGGTGACACCTAACATGCATTTACATATGCATATTCTTGAGTGYATATTAGATTTTGGTCCAGTATACGCTTTTTGGCTCTTTGGTTTTGAAAGATTCAATGGTATATTGGGTGAGTACTCAACAAATCAAAGATCAGTAGAGATTCAAATTATGCGGAAGTTTTTGTCTGAACAGTTTGTTAAARCTCTTCCACATCCCACAGAATTTAATGACAATTTTGGACCTATTTTGCAAAAAATGACATCATCATCTTCTGGGACACTTCATATTACAACCAGCAATAGTTCTTCAAGTTTAGTCATCAAACAAAGCCTRCTTTCTATAGGTCCAATAAGGAAGGGGACCTTCTGGTCAATCACTGATCAAGAGCAATTTATCAATTGCCTAACTCCTATTTACAAGTACAGTATAGAATATGATTCCCTTTCTTATTTGAGAGAGTCATACCAAACATTTMTAGATAATGTAAATATCACTACAGTAACAGTCCACTGTGAAAGAATCTCAGCTATCGACGTTGCAGGAGAAATGTTTGGTTCTTGCTACTCAAGAAACAAGAGGTCTGCATATATTCTAGCAGCTTGGTGTGGTCTGAATGGGAGGATTGATAGAAGTGGTACAAACATGCGACCTGGTGTGGTACWGAATTTTATCCGTCAGAATATTCAAGTGGATGGTCATTACAGAACTTTTATATTAGCTGAAGTAAAATGGTTTCACCAACATCAAAGTAAGCACAGGCTTGGTCCTCCAGTTGAAGTTTGGTGCAAAGATATGTATGAATCGCAAGGTCCTGCTGACTATATTCCATTGCAGCGAATCAATGGCAAGTTTGTTCCAGCTTACCAAGTAATTGATAATGAAAATGTCCTTGTTGTCTKCCCAATGGCTAAAAAGCTTCAATGTTGACTCACAATAGCTTTAAACTCTGTATAGAAATATTTTTTCTCAACTTGTGTTGGAAGCCAAGAACAGTGCACTGTACTATAGGCCTTTTTTAATAATTACTATTCATAATATAGGCATAGCAATGCATTCTATGAATGACAATCAATTATAAATTGGAATCAAAAAAGATTTACAATGTTTAAACAATACATTGTTGATGCCAAAAGTATAAAATGATGCGGAGTGTCATGTAATTGTTTCATACAGATAATGATTGGGATATAGAGTGATTTTCATCCGACTGTGAAATAGTTCCTACTCTAATAGACGCTAGTAAACTCTACACCCATTGTTTTCTTTTATTGTAATTCAACTATTAAACACTGACTAATAGTAATTGTTTCACAGACATATGAAAATGGCTCTAATGGTTTCCYACAGATTTTCTGTATAAAACAATAAGTATATCCCACCCAATGCAACCCRTCATTTTAAGMCAAATGGATGCTAATARAAMCTGAAATGGTTTGAATTTTCATGTGCAAAGCTTGGTCATTTCTTACACAAATGAAATTAACTGCTGTTTCACTCATATTTTTAATATACTCTTTTATTGTAATTGATTACATTGCAATTATAATATTTATGAATTGTTCATGTTGAGATATATGATTTCCATATTGTTGTAAGTAAAAATAGTCTTAACATAGATGTAGCATTGTTTAAGTTCAAGAAAAACCTTAACCATAACTTTGAAAGTGATTGCAAATAAAAGCTAGCCTCTAAATACAAGAGACCTTGCACTGCAGATATACTAAAAAACTATTTTAAAATCAAGAATCTGATGTTACTATGTTGTAATTGTTAATGGTCCTGACCAATAATTATAACTTTTCAATACATATAATGAAAAAAGCTACTAGTTAAGGGATTTGAAATATATCAAATGATTGTGTACAGCTTGGTAGAAGGAAAATTATTATTATTCTAGATCTCAATGAACTTTAACTATAAATTGCGTTTGATGAACATGTATTGCAAGCAACATATCTCAATGTTTCTTGGATTTGCCAGTTATAACAACCTACTAGCATGAGTTGCTAGTATGATACATATTGCACAAAGGGAGAGATAATTCACTTCAATAAGGAAACCAAAAATTGACATTTTAATTGCTTTATTCATTAATGA